ACGAGGGAATGGCGCTTCCTTTTTTACTGTCCTTATATGTCATTTTATGAGAGGATATATTAGTCATTAAAAATTTAATAAAAAGTGGGGTGGGAAGATAAGACATTGGGGTGGATGTAGTAGCATTCTTTTTTTAATGGAGGCAAAAGTAAACAATACCAATTAATGAAACTTTCATATTGACAGTCCTACCCCTATTTTTTTTCTTGCTAAAAGCACTTTTAGCAGTATAGTTAATCAAACACTTACCTATTTTTTAACTGTTGTTTATCTCACAGAAAAAACAGTTTTGAAAAAAAAGCACGGCAACACCAAACTAGCCTCAATCTCTTCTATATAAAAGTGCTTGAACTTAAATTGATTATTAGCATTCATTTCGTCGTGCAAAATGTTATTTGTACTAGTGTTAAGTCAAAACTCCACGTTGAATGACTAAAATATGTATTATTTTCTCACTATTTTCCCTGTGATACTAATAAATCGAACATTTTGCCAAATTGAAGATCCAAACAGATGCCTATTTGCTTAAGATATGTGGACTATATATATCAAACACCTAACAGTTGCAGGCAAATACAAATCCCTTACCATTCAATTTTTGAAGCCAGTCTTCTCTTCTTCTTCCGTGTATCATACTATTATTTTAACTCCACGAATCAAACTCTTATTCTATTCCTTTGCCTTGGATCAACTAAAATTTGAGCCTAAAATAAATAATTGGCCCCAACGGTCCAACTTTCACATGCAAAAGTTTACATATTCTGTGTTGTGCTGAACAAAACTGTGACATCCTTCTTTCGCCATATTGAGATATTAACACCCTTGTAAAGTTCTTTGAAATTGCCGATGCACTTCTGTTTCAACTGCATGAACCAAATTAGGACCGGTCCCGAAAGGCTTGAGACGAACAACTTAGCATAGGACAGCTTCAAGATCCCCTTCGAAAACCATTTGTTGCTGGAAGTGGTAAATGTGCTCGACAGGGTCAGTCGTTCCTTCAAACAGTTTGAACTTTGGTTGAGTGAACTTGGTAGGTTTCTTAGCTTTCAGAATGTCATCAATAAATGGCGGCTTACAAATACCTTTCAATATGCTTCCAAGGCAAGTTCGGCACGGGTCTGTGACTTATACCCGTTCACTATCTTTTCGCTTTGCTTCCGTAGGTCGATATCCTTTGCATTCTTCAGCCCTTTCTCGTGGTTATCATTCTCATCCCGATCCTTCATCGCTTTGTTATGGCCATTGGAAGATGCGTTGCTCGGTTCACCTCTTTTTATGGCCAACCCTATCCAAAAGTACATCTTGAACAATACCAGGTGATTCTTTTGATATTATTTTTGGTTATTATAATTGGTGAATTAAATTAAATAACGTGGATTCAAACTCCGTCAGTAGCTAACCTAACATCTAATCTCACATAATCAATTGTTTGAAAAAAAAAAAATTAAATAAACATTAACTAATTACTTGGTGCCAGGAATGCTCTTTTGTGGGATGGCAGGGTTTCAGCGTTTATCTCATAATCAAGTTATGCCTTTGCAGTCCCGTTGGTTTCCTCCTCCTGCAGGTTAGGTTAAAGTAAACGTGGATGGTGCTTTTCGTGCTGCTTCTGAGGTGGGGGGAATTGGTGTGGTATTTCGGGACGAAGTCGGTAGCTATGCTGGAGGTTCGTTCGTCGAATTACCCATGTCAATAACCCCTATACGGTTGAATTAATGGCGGCTAGAGAAGGTCTTCACTGGGCTCTCCAACGAAATGTGCAGTGCATTATTTTAGAGTGTGACGCCTTGCAGGTTGTTCAGGGGGTGGGGAGTTTGAAACGAGGGTCCTCCTCTTCGGATTTATTGTTGGAGGATGTTCAGGAGTACCTGAGGTGTTTTGGGTCTTCTAAATTTAACATATTAGTCGTTCCGCCAATGGTGCAGCCCATAGAATGGCCAAGTTGGCCTTAAATTTTCCTTCTAATTTTCATTGGTTCGAGGACCCTCCGGATTTAATTCAGGGTACCCTCTTGGGTGATTGTATGACATCTTCTTAATTCTAATAAAGTTGCTATCGTTTCAACTCAAAAAAAAAAATTCATTTTTTTCGCTACTACGGTTTAATAATATTTTTCTTCACTTTAAGTGAGAGATTATAAGTTCGATTCTCGCCAAACGTGAATTTGAATCACATTATTACTAGTTCATTGTGAGGTCCTCTTTTTGAAACTCATCTTCCTAACTATCAATAAAACATGGAGAAATTAAATGACTTAAAACTAAATCTAAACCAATATTGTTTCTAAAAACCCTAGACAAATGTTACTGATTACTGTCCTGTATATATCACAACAAGTGGTTTATTAAATAGGAAAACTAATAAAAATGACTTAAAAACCTTGAGTTTTAACCAAAAGGACAAAAAAGTGTTGTAAGTGAGTAGTACAATAAGTGATTTTTTAGAGTAAAAATGTCTTTAACGTTAAAAGTGAACAGTACCAAGAATGTTTCGTTAAGACTCCCTTATTAAATTTGTATAGTCAACGGGCATGTTCACACACTGTCATACAAGTTGGTGTGGTGCAAAAATTATGATCTTAGCATTTAACAAAAAAATTATTCAAAGATGTTACTACGAATTTCAAAATAAATTTATTTACATACCTAATCAGGCTTAGGATACATACACATGTTACCTGAATTAAATTAAATATGTCTGTTAATATGTAATTACAATAATGTTATTCTTACCATATTTTTGTACCACAATTGTATATCACTTTAGGTGGCATATGATGTGCTAAATTAATTAGCATTTAATTTTAAAATGTTAATCAATAATTAATAAAAAGATTGTTAATTAAATGATGATTGTGATATACGAGGAGTCTCCTTCTTCCTTCCCCATTCCATTCTGCTTCTTCTTCCTTCCCCCTTTTTTTTTTCACGCCAGTTTTTTTATTGTATGTTGATTTTCATGATTATGGTCAAGTTTTATAGAATTTAATCGTATACCACAATCACCATTGATTTCTATCTCCAGACTCATTCCCCGTAGCCCCAATCCTCATTCCCCTTCAAGTTTTGTCTCCAATCTTCATTCATATTCCATGGTTGTTCATCTCGTGAATTTTTTTTTGTTTTCTTTTCAAAATATTTTTTTTAGTGGTTTAAAAGAAGGATTTCATCTGATTATTTCATTAAGTAACGCCTATTAGCTGTCATGCAAATTAGGAGTCAAAATCAAATTTGTCTATCGGATTAGGGTTCATACCCAATTATAACACCAGAGGGGGAGATCTTGAAGTCTATAATTTTCCTTATTTAAGTGTTTTAGTTTATAAGAAAATTGAAATTAAATGATGTGACTTGTCCAACTCATCTGTCACTTAAGATGGTAAAGAAATGTGATATAAAATTATGGTAAGAATAGCATTACTCATGTAATTATATGTAGCTTCTTGTATACATATATATAATTCAATGGCATTAGAATTACAAATTATCAAGACGACGAGACCTATGTAAAGGTGTTCCTGTATAAGCTTCTGGATTGGCACACAATTAAACTGTTCCAAATTAGGGTACACTGTCAAATATCGACTGTTGAGTTAGAAACTAAAAAAAGGAAGTTGAATTTCGTCGCCCATACCAGCTCTGTGGTGATTATGATGATAATCTTTCTCTTAATAACACCAGGCCTGCAATCGCAGTGGACAGAAAATGTCTCGAAAGGTGCATTCGACATTGCGGTTTGTCTCTCACTGCAGAATGCGTCGAAAAATGTTACAATATGTGTGAAACGGCTGAGGCTCCAACTGTGATTGATCAGACTATTCACTACTGCAAACTTGGTTGTTCGCTTCACCACTGTGACAAATACCACTCTGGTACGTACTACCCCATTTGCATGCTTTACTCCGCTTTATTTTAAAACACAAGGCCCATCTCGAACACTGATCGAATCCTCTCAATACCTATTGAGCAATGATCGAGAGCGTTCGATCAATCCTCGAATCTCGCAAGTGTTAAAATTTTGAAACATGAAAACTAAGATGAATATGTTTATGTTTTCTCTTCGTGACATGCAGACAAAACAAAAATGGGAAGGTGCGTGGATCACTGCTCAAACAAATACTGCAATGTGGAAAATATTTACTAGAGGTCCCATGTATACACAGAATTGATGGAACAAATAATATTGCAGACATCATAATTATATCTCCATGTACGTGGGTTCAATGAGTGACAACTTTTATGATGTAGTTGCATTCAAATATGTCTAGCCATCGCAGTGTGTTCTTTTTCCTTTGCATGCGTACCACAACTGCGATAAGATTCAATAACCTTAGTTATATGATATTTTACTGGAAACTATTATCATTGTAAAAAAGAAGATTCTAACTCTGCATAGGGATAGCGATCTAGCTAATATAGCTACACCCACATTATTTATCTCCACTAATATTGAGCATAAGTCAAAGTCACGAGTTTAAATGCCTTTATTTGATTGTGTTGTTGGTCCAATTACTTGGGGAACTCTTATAACAAATCTTATCTCTATACAAAAGTGCTTACATGCAGTTAGTTTAGAGTATTCACCTTTTCATCTGAAGTCTCGAATTTGATCCCTTCCTCCTGTTAGTTAGATCAAAACTTCACTTTAACTTGTCGAAATACCTATTAACTTTTTCCTATTTATACAACCCGTGACACTGATACATTGAACATATTTTTCAAAATTGAAGACCTAATTCAATAGATGCCTACTTAATACTTTAAGATATTTGGAACATCAATCACCTAAAATTTTACAGGCAAATACAAATCCCCTACCCACTCAAATTTTGAATCCAGTCTTCTTCTTCCAACTGCCGTATTTCCTACTATTATTTTAACTCACGAATCTACCTCTTATTCTATTCCTTTGCCTTGGATCAACTCAAAATTTGACCGTAAAATAATTATCCCAACGGTTCAAAATTTCACATGCAGCCATTTACATATTTTGAAAGGAAACACAATCTGTATCACTTCTGACAAACCTTCATCCAGTGTCTGCCCATTAATATTTTGCCAAAAGATTCCAAAACCTTAAATATATGTGGGCACTGAAATAGTGACCACAGGTGGGAATTTTATTTCACAATGGGGAACTGTTCATCACTCACAGGAACCTCTGGGGAGTGTCCTAAATCTATTAGGGTTCTTACAGATTCTGGGGCTATGCTAGAATTTAAAGGCCCTAAACTAGCTGCTGAAATCCTCACTGGTTTTCCAGGCTATGGCATTTTCCAACAGGGCAAGGCCTCCTTGCCAATGTCTGACCAAGAAACCCTAATTAGTGGCCAGTACTATCTTCTTCCGCTGAAGCCACAGCCACTGGTTTGCGAACATGGGGTTGCTGAGAAACCAGAGGCTGCGGAAGCTGAGCCTGTGAAGACGTCATTTGGTGCACTACCGGATTTCGTGGAGAATTCGGCAAACGGGTCATCAAATCTTGGAGTTGAAGTCCTGGAGAAGGCTGCAGAAGCTGAGTCTGTGAAGAAGTCATTTGGAGCAGGATCAGAAGTTGAAGTCATGGAGGCTGCTGAAGCTGAGCCTGTGAAGAAGTCATTTTGTGCAGGATCAGATTTCGTGGAGAATTTGGCGAAAGGGTCGTCGGCTCTTGAGGTGCTGCCGTCTGGTGGCGACGGGGTTTGGAGGGTGAAGCTGGTGATAGACACTAAGCAACTGGAGGAGTTATTTTCCGAAAATGGCGACGCAGGGGCGCTGATTGAGACGATGAGGATGGCTGCAAGTGAAGGAGCAGGGGCAAGCACTCCAAGGCAGACAAAGAGCCTTTGGGGAGGAGCAGGAGGTTGGAGGAAGCCCATCTTCTCCAACTTGTTTAAGGTGCCCCCCAACTGATCCTGGGATATAAAAAGCTGGGTCATTTGAAACATCATGTTTCTCTGTCCCAATGTTTTTCAGATTTTTAAGGGCAAATCAAATGTTTTAGAGGGCTAAAACTTCTAAAACTTGATTAAGGACATCAGTTTAGTTATTATGTTATATTACCTTGTGAACTTTATTTTTGTACATATGACGAAGGCAAGGGATTTATAAACGGTTCGACGAATCTGTGTTTCGCTCTCTTGTTTTTTGTTTCCGTTTGTTCATGCCGATTCGGATGCTCCACGCACACACAAGAATCTCTTCAAATATGAAGGATTTAAACATCCTCCATTCATGCTTTATTTCTTTCGTCCTCGTTGTTTCTTGTTGGAATGCTTGAATTAAACATGGAAGATAACTAGGACCAATTCAACAACACTCTTTCAATCATCCACATCAGCTAGGACAACCAATTTGGGGTTTCAGGGGGTCAACTACGAACTTTCGGCAGATAACAGAGAACACAGCAGGTTATTTTCGTAACATTAAGGGCTAATTAGAAACATGACAGCAGTATTCGAGTTCTAAACAACGTATTCTGACATCAAATGACCAATTTGAAGCCCCAAAGCCCAGCCAAGTCATTTCATTACAACCAACAACGTAAATAAAATTCAAAAGGATAAAGACATTTCGATATTTTGAGATGATATTCTCACTAGATTCTTGACTCCATCTTACTAATGGCTTTCTCTATAGCAGGTACATTCTTCTTGAAGACCGACCATTGCTCCTCTGTCAAGCTTATTCCTGCAGAAAAAAGTTTACACACATACCACCGTAAGTAAACTAAAGACAGCACAGGTATCCATACATCCAACACATAAGTATAAGAAATATAGAAACGAGCAAAATTGCGCTCAATTTTCGGCACAAAGGACTACTTGCATACACAAAAAGTAATGCCACCAAGAATTTCAGAAACATGAAATTGCATTAAAAAGCCGTAACCATCCATGACCTTGTATGTCTTAGGCCACTAATTGAAGTTTTCCCAAAAGAAGCCGTCTCTCCTGAAGCACTTTGAATAAACAATGGTAAGCGAGAAGAGAGAAAGCCCGAGGAAGTGGACTGTTACTCTTCTATTACATTACAGTACAGAAAAGCCTATTCTCGTCATAATCGATTCATGTCAGGAAGCGAGGGGTATAAAAAAATAGAAGGAAACAAGTGACTGAAAGCCACTCCAGTACTCTACTACTACCATCAACGACTATAAACAACAATGCAGAAAACAAGTAGAGCAATTGGCATTGTAGTTTACCAAGACCGGTTTGGTACTCAGCCTTTTTCTTCGTAATCCCTCACCAATCCTTTGCTACCAAGATGACAACCTAAGTCATAAGTTCGATGTGCCGAAGAACACATTCATGATTCAGATTGTGCAAAATGCAGCAATGTAACAAAAGCTTATTCACAGCGTCAGGGAACTCAGTATCACGAGTCGCATTAACATCATCCATCAACAAATCCAGACAAATGAATTGTGATTAAGCTCTATAAGCAGAAATTTCAGCTACAAACTCAAATCATTTCCTGATATAAATGCACAGAATTAGAAGCAGCTAATAATCGGATTAAAGTTAAGTAAATCACCTTTGGCAGTAGGAAGCTCTTTCCCATCTTTGAAATAGAACTCCCTAATCGACACCAAATTCTTCCCTCTGAATTCCTGAAGCGTCACCTTCCTCTTCGCCGAGAGCTGCATATCACAACCAAAACCCAATAAACAAAAAACCCAAAAAAATCAAAACCCAACACAGAAAATACGTTCCATTCAACTTTTCTCGGGAAACAAACAGAAAAAACTGACCCTGCAAATCACGAGATCGCCGTTATCATCGTACTCCCGTTCCTGGGCACCTTCGGCTTCTGGGTTTTCATCCTTCTGCGCTGCTTCTTGTTCCTTCTGATGCTGCTCCTCGAGGAAGGACTGGACGACCTGCTTGACGAAAGCCTTGTAGGGGGGCTTGGAGAGGTCGAGCTCCAGCTCTTCGGAGGCCTGCTTCCGAATCTTGAACTCCGTCATCTCGTCCATGTTCGATTCCTCTAGGATTCTCCGCACCGTTTTCTCGATTTTCTGCTCGGTTTCGGCTTCCATTTTTAATTCAATTTTCGGTTGTGGCGCAGAAAATCTATGAAAAGTTATCTTCTTTTTTGCTTAATTGGGGAAGCTCTGTGTTACTCTGCGCCTCCGAGTTCTTGTGGATTTGGGGGTGCTGTCAAAAAACAGAAATTTTAGTTGTGACGGGAAGTGGTACATCATGTGCTTTAATAGGAATGGTAGAAAATTTTATTTTTTAAGTTATAACATTTTAGCACATATATCTCACCATTTATTTAATAACATATGATGCATCATTCTGTGTACCGATTACATTGAAAAATCTTTTATTACGTGCACAATTGAGCACAGTTATGCATCACAACGGTTCACTATTTTACTGGTCTAAGGTATGAAAGCATCTGACAACTTTTTATTCTCGAAAAAAACTTGAGTAAGTTATTTTATTTTGGTCTTACTCAATCCACGTTAATCTTGTTATAGTGTGAAGGTTACTTTATTTTGACAAACCTATCAAAAATTTTCTTCTCGGTACGATATTTATTATTGACTATCACGATTCACATCATAAATGTAACAACTCGAGCGCAACGGTTAGTGTTTGTTTCGGAGAAACGATGGTGGACCTGAGAAACCGGACTTCACATCTCACTGAACACAATTCGAAGCATGAAGCAGAGAAAACGGGAAGATAGCAAGCAACACTTGACTTCATTACCAATCGGCTCCAACGATTATCATCTGGAAATGAACCCCGGTGTTGTAAATAAGAAGACGGGGAGCAACAAAGTGAGTACCTAAGCTGATGATTCTAGTTAGGAAACAGAAACTTTGAGTTGCTGACATAGAAGATAGAAGATACGACACCGGAAAGAGGGACTTTCCGATGACACTTACCACGGCATCAATCTATGACTACAAGAATCTGAACTGTATAGGAAAATATAACACACATCCATTTTTCAATTCAATGTGGTAAATATATACCAGATGGTTCACATTAAAACCCTCCAATTGGGCATCGGCTATTCGACTTCACACTTGTTATCAACTACTATACGCCGTCAAGGCTCTACCGAGATGCAGTTACCTCTTCTGTCCTTGGACCTTCTTTAGTCTTGCTGCATATACATGACATGACATGACACAGAATAAGTAGAAGAATATAACATGCCAACAAGTCTGGCAGAAAGTATCTATCAGGTGATCGAAATAACAACATAAGATCGGAGTTGATATCTTGCAGAAGATCTAAACTTTGGATGAGCAATGATCATTGAATTACATAAAAGACGGGAAAGTAATTTGTATCATGATCCGTGGATGCTACACTTAGGGTGTAGTGAGATTTGGTTTCAGCACAAACCAGATGACAAATTCAGAATCAAACGAAACTTCTTTTTGCACACATCATTTTCATTAGTTTTCCTTTATTTAAAAGGAGTTTTAACGAAAAGCCCACGATACTGTTCTCTTTAACGAAAAACCATAATTTTACACTAAAAAGTCAATCATGGTACTATTCACTTTGCCCTTTATTTTGTCTTTATCGTTAAAACTTAAATTTTCAAATCCTTTTCATTAGTAATGCTTGGTCCAAATTCATGAGAAAGCGGCATCCTTAACATTGCTAATCAATTTCATTTGTGAGTATAACATTGTATTCCAGTAACATCGATGCATTAAACTGCTCTCGAGCATCGAGCATTCGAGCTATACGCACAAACTAGGAAAGCAATCCCTACATGTTACAGGGAAATCAAAATCTTTACCTTAATGCTAGTCTCGTCTTCCCCCTCTTCCGAAGGCAACCTCATCCAAGCTTTGCCCTTGTCGCCTATAGCGGCCGCCAGATTCCACAAAACCAGGACAGGGCCTGTAAGCTTTTATAGGCCACCAACCAAAGCCTGGAAATGTTGCAATTCCACCTTGAATCCTTCCCTCCCCATTGCATCCCTTCTCCACCTCCTCTCTCCCACAGGACTTACAGCCACTGCACCAAATTTGGTTCACATTAAACACCACATATCACACACACATGTTCTTTAAGCGAAATGATTTCCGTACACCCCTTTTCTCCCGCTACACACGAGAATCAACGGAAAGTTTCATTCCCCTTAATTAATCATCAAAATTCAGAATCATAGAGCTAAATCCCACATTAAAGAATCAAAAATTGAACAAAAAGTTTCCAAGTGATGCAATCTATATTATATTTCACACCACCTGCATACCAAAGTTCACAACTTTGCCAAAGAGAAACTTAAATCAACTCACAGAAAAGTTCTCAAATTATACTATATCTGCAAAAAGATGTAAAATTTGGGATGGAATCCAAGTTCCAATTAGTGGGTTTGTGACAGAATGAGGTGAAAGATTTGGAGTACCTGAGGGGAAACTGTTGAGTGGGGGGCTGTGATGGGGAAGCAAGAGAATCATCATCTTCTGCAACTGAGGAAGGTGAGGAAGTTGAAGAGAGAAGGGTGAGAGATTTAGAAGATGGGGAGGAGGTTTTGATGAGAGTTGTTGTAGAGGGATGGAATTGCGGCCATGTCTTGGTGGCGGTGGCGGTGGCGGTGTGAGGGAAGTGAGAGAGTGGGATGGGAGGTGAGAGAAGGGATGTTCCCATTGTTTTCCCAGCAGGATGAGAGGTGGAGTGAGAGGACTAGATAATTTCCTTCCCACTCTTTTTCTTTCAATTGTGAGGTTCACATCGAGGTTTAGAAAAATAAAAAAGCGTGAAAAAAAAAATTGGAGAAAAGAAAAAGGTTGGAGGTTCCACCGAGATTTGAACTCGGGTTACTAGATTCAGAGTCTAATGTCCTAACCGCTAGACCATGGAACCTCAGATGCTTCTCTATTTCATGCTTAGTATTTATTGTGTTACGCTGACAAATCCCTTTTACCTATGTTTTTCTCACCTAGACTTGGCAGAATTTCGAACAACATGTTAACTCAACACAAACACGCACGAAAAAAATTAGTGTTTCGATCGAGCATTAATTGATCATGCTTATATTATGCTGCAAAACCCGTTACTAATCAATTATTGACATTCAACACATAGTTTATAATTTCAACATTTACAGACTGATGCAAGAATAGAAATTAGAATCATTTTAATTCTTAAATTTCATGTGCTCACTAAAGGCGTAGGTATAATAATCATTTCACACCTTAGCTTTCCCTATAAATAATTAATTAATTAAATACTAACAATTAAGAAATGGATCAACTAGAGTGACTAGTTGATCTAATTCCCTTTCCTTACTTTTTGTAGTTCTAAATTCTCTCATCCTTTTACTAATTCTTTCTTGTTAAAAATCATAAGCTTATGGATCATCTTTCATTGGAGAAAATCTTGAGTGTAACTGAATAAATCCTCATGTTTATGCATCTCAATGTCTCACTCGCACAAATCCTGAAGATATATTTCCAAAAAATCTTGGATATAACCTCATATGCATCCAAATATAAGTATCTCACTCATGTTTTGGAAATATATTTCCAAAAACATATTAGGTATATACCCCATATGTTGGATATAAGTCAACAATCTGTGATAATTTATATATGCTAATAAATAATAAATGCAATAGAAACTAACAGAATATAAACTAGAATATGAATTATAAAACAGACAACTTGAAGATCGAGGCTTGCGTACCGCAATGTCCTTGAAACAGAAATTTCGTCCCTACTCTGTGCTTGTAGTTCTACGAACGTCTGCTTCACCAGGATTCAACGATCAAGTTAAAATTCCAGCACTGGAAAATTTAACTTCTGGCGAATTTAGTGTGGTTCTCTCAGTAAGAAGGTTTATGAATGTAGAAGATGAAGTTTATTATTTCTGTGATCTAAATGCTATGCAGATGTATGTATATATAGCAGATAGATGCCTGTTTGCAACATGTATGAGAATGGGGTGTGACTGTTGGGAGACATCTCTTCAGAAGGGTGATTTGCTCTGTGTTCAGAAAGAACTCTCAGACTTCATCTGAAAGGATGAGTCTTTTCATAAAAAATAATTAATTAATTAAATTCGAATTTAATTAAAAAATAATTAAGTAAATCCGAAAAATAATTAATTAAATAATTTAATTATTAGAGCCCAAGAGCCCCAAGGCCCAAGGCCCATCTTTTGACAATTAAATATATATTAATTATATATTAATTATAATTAATTATATATTAATTATATATTAATTATAATTAATTATATATTAATTATATATTAATTATAATTAATTATATATTAATTACCAATTAATTATTACACCCCAAAGCCCAACCCCAAGGGTGAGCCCAATTTTAGTCTCCAGGCCTATTACTCCAATCACTTTCTTTAAAGGACAAAACCTTATAAAGTGATAAAATGTTTTGGGAATGACCAATGTGGGACAAGGAAATTTCTACTCAAACTACTCAAAATTCCAACAATACCCCACATTTGAGTTGAAATTTCATTCAAACTCCAACAATGACCCCACATTTGAATGCAAATGTAAATGCAAATGTGTGACTAGGCTGCCTAAAACTGAGAGAGAATAGTCATGATATGCATCGGGTGAAGTGTCTTTTGGACTTGAACTTACCCTAGTGAAAACATATCGGGTTTACTTGGTGACGCAGTGGATGTGGAAGATCTTGAACTGTTCACCGCAGTAGTAAACCAAGACAATATGCTACACACATATCATGGCTGCCACACGTCAATTCATACGGTTGTGTTCATTTTGGCCCTGAACAGATCCCGGATTTCGTAGGAGCTTTAGAGAATTTAGCCATGTCAATTCTCATAAATGTGGCCCCATTTACTCCTATATAGGTGACATTAATTAAGAATAGTCTGCCATATTCCTCTTGATAACAAGATATTAATGTCATTAAATGTATAAAACATAACCCCTCAAACGTCAACAGACAACACACATTTTATCATAAGAATGGGTAAGTTGTGTGTTCAACTTTTGAATCAAACTCAACCAGTTTGCCTATTGAACCTAGACCATGGGATCTCCAATCAGCTAGGTTAGGTTTCCGCCCAGTTCGATTCATTGAATTGGCTTAAGACCCATTCCCCTCGATGTAAATAAAATAATTCTCTCTCTATGGCCTGTTTTCAACATTTAATCAAATACATTCATAATCAATTCTTATTCCATTGGAGAGCATCTTTCTAAGAGTATTGTGTCGACGTCTGATGTGACGTGACTTCCCATTGTATACATGACTTTTGGCCCTTGATTGGGCGCCATACTATCACAATGTACATATCGTTACCGTTTGGCCACATTGGAATATCCTCCAGAAAAATGTTTGAGCCACTCGGCTTTTTCGCCAGCCAAGTCTTAAAGCTATAAATTCTCACTCCATGGTGGACCGAGCTATAACAATTTCTGTTTAGAGGGATTTCCAAGATATTGCTGAACCTCCAGGTAAAACATATCCACTGTCGACTTGGATTCTGAGTGTCAGAAATCCAATGGCATCCGAAGCTTTTTTTAATTTTTGTGTAGTGTAATCCGTAGTCAGTGTAGTAGTTTTTTCAAATACACTTAACACTCCTTAATCAAAGCATCACAATGCTCTTTGCCCGGATTACTTGAGTATCTTACCGCCTACAGTACTGTCATAAGCTAAGTCGGGCCTAGTTAGGAATTTCAAGTACATTAGACTGATCCAATTACTTGAGAATATTCAAGTTGAGAAATTGGGCATCGCCTTTATTTTTCTCAACTTGCACCAGCATAAAAGGAGTCGCAGCATTTGCAGTCAAATTGACCAAACCTTGTATTTGTATATTATTTATCCTCTGATAATATTGTTCAGAGGAATTCTGTCATCCTTTGGCATTCATATCCTCAAAACCTAATGCATCGCTAAAATAAGACTTTCAAATTTTGTATGTCTTTAGTGTCATAATACGCAGTTGAATCAACATTCTTGCCTTATTGTTTTTTTTAAATTTACATCTTTATTGCCAGATCCACATGTGAATCAACAGCTGTTTGAGCAAATCTAGTGCACATCAAGCAGATAATGAACACATAATCACTTAAATAATTAGACACACGCCTTTTATGCAAGACGTTTGTACGTGCAGTATTCAAAATTGACTCCTCCCATTTTGGGCGGTTTAAGCCTATAATAATGTGTATGCACACTTTGTTTATAGTCCCTAAGTAAGCCCACATGGACCTATTGAATCTTTGAGATGCTTTTTACAAGTACATATGAAATATCAACCTTATTGATACCAGCTGACACCTTAAGGTTAACTTGACCTTTGTTAATTATTTTGATATTAGATATACCATGGCCTATTCTTCAACAGGGAAGGGTGTGTTAAGTAACTGATCTTTGAAAATTACTTTACATCGTAATTTAATTATTTAATAAAATTTTATAATCAAGCGGCCAGCAATTCCATTCTATCCTAATCATCAGATTTACTTTAAGGAAAAATGCCTGCATGGGATGTATGCAGGAATTTATCAATTGACCAAATCGCTCACCTTTGATTAATTTGTGGGATTACAGGCATTTCCTTAATTTGAATTCCTAAACTGATGGGTGACGCTTAGTTCTTTCTTGATCCTTTTTTTTGTTTATTAATTTGATACATTCGACATACAACGTAACACAAGTTTTAATTTAATGTACACATTTATCAGACATTTAACCCATAAGATGATCAACCCGATTGTTTTGGGTTCCACAAAATTTTAACTTTCCATTACGATAAATCAAATTGTTCCAATATATTTCGTTATGCCAAAAACTTTTTAAAATCGGATATAAAGGAACATTTTATCGCCGCAAAACCCTAATTCATTGAGAAGGCGAAACAGAATTTTGCTAACCAACCCTTCATTGTAAGTCAAATTTTCCCCCAGTTTGAACCCCAAGGTATGAGATTTATCCTATATTAAATTGGAATATAAAATTAGGATTATTTATTGGTTAGACAATTCCAAAACCCCATTTGAGGAAATTTCTACACTCCACTTTACAAGTATCTTGGATTTAATGTTATTCTTCGAGTGGGCATTTCTTACCAATCAAAGGATTATTTTAAAATCTTACGATAAGAGGATTGATTTTAAATGTTGACTGCTACAACAACAACAAAACCTTTTCTCACTAAGTGAAACGTATATTCAATCTAGAATGTCATCGGTGGTGCATTAGTGTTTAAGCAATGGATTTAAGTTATTTCTTGTGAAAATCATCAGGAAAGAGCACGTTCGGTATCCTTCTTGGTTTCAACTTTTTGTTACTCGTCACGTAGGTTCAAAACAGAACTGAATCCAGGAAGGATACCAAAACCACCCATATCTTACTCTTTTCATGAGGCTTGGACTCTGAGTACCTTGTTCATTCAAGCTTTAGATCTCATTCAAACTCATTTTTATATCCAACTAATTAATTCCGCAAAAACAAATTATCAACAATTATGATAATAGCAATAACAGGGAGAGAAAAGGGAAGCAAACCCCCTTTTTACCAGAAAAACAACCAAAACTGAGGTTGGAAAAATTAAAAACATCTTTCCGGGGAAAATATATCGAATGTTAAATCGACTTTCTCCTGCAGTAGATACCACTATTTTCTTAAAACTAGTATTAAGTTATATAATCAGTATCATCGTATCTTCACTTCTTTGTTACCCCTGCACAATCTGCTGTTCTCCCTCTACATCCATCACAGAGCCATGATGATGCACCATGTACCATCGCCCGTTATGGAACTCATAGACGTTGGTCACATTGAATGGCCCAGTGTCAATTTCAACATAGGTTTTCATGGTAACCCAGGCCATGTCTGTTAGAACCCGCGCACGCACATCTCGAATCTGAAAGTTAACCCCTTGCTCCCAATTAAATGCTAGTTGCCAACTCTGTATAACAGCATTGTACCTAAAGAGGTAGCAAAAATGACTTAGCTCTGGGTGTCATATATTAATCAGGCGCAAACGGAAAACCAAAAAGGCGTTATGGATATTTAAAACCACAAGAATAAAATCAGCTCTATAGAGAAAGAAACAACTAATAATGTTTCAAGATCAAACCAAAGAGAGGTTATGGGTATGAAACCCTCACTCTTTCAATTTCCACCAAAATTCAAATAATCAAACGGGATCTTCCTATCATGTCAATAACCCCTACCCGAAAGCCATCTAATAACTGTCATGTACATTTGGTTGACTCTTTTATCTAAATCTAAGTTTCAATAGATAGCATTTCACTCCCATCAAATAAAGAAAACCGTTAAAACACGAGGCAGAACAGGAGTTTAAGAATGAAAACAAAAAAGGGTCCGTTAGTGAATGAAAAGGAACGTTAAAAAAATCTCTCAATCACTTAAATGAACTTAACAGAAGAAAACAGTCATAAAAATGCAGTTGTTGTACAGTTGTACACAAATGAGGCATCTTACCCCGAAAAGAGTTCTCCAGAGGCATGAACACACTTCACATAATCTGCATTCAGCCATAAACGACTCATTTCTGGAAGTGACCTTCCTCGGATAAAGTTAAAGAATTCAGTATTGACATTCACAATCGCTCTTGTAGCAGCATAGTAAGCTTTCCATCCATTAACTGGGGTTACGCTATCCTGTTCCAAGGTGAAGTCCTGAAAGAAAATTTGAAAGCCCATAACAAAATATTCTTACAAAATGTTTTGGTATCAGATGCCAGTACATAAGAAACCGACACAGGTTAGGGTCTCAGATACGGACAAAATCGCTGTTTCTAAATTAAACTAAACACATGTCTCAACACTATCGCGGGCTAAATCCCATGTTATCCATACACCAAAACCATTATGTATTAGGAAGTTTAAATGTAAGAAATTTCACCATTTAAAGGAATGAAAACTTCATGCAGAAGACTAGATCCAATGATATCCATTAACCAAAACCAACACGAAAACCAAATAAAAAGGATTAATCTTGTAATCTCTCAGGCACCGAAAATGTACCATAAATAACCATACAAAAGCCTAATCTCATCCCACATTCCCAAGTTAGAAAATGTACCATGGGTAACATGGAGGATCCTTATTTCATCACATATGTCAAACAACATTCCATTAACCAAAACCGATACGAAAAGCAAATAAAAAGGATTAATCTTGTAATCTCTCAGGCACCGAAATGTACCATAAATAACCGTACAAAAGCCTAATCCCATCCCACATGTCAAACCACATTCCTAAATTAGAAAATGTACCATAAGTCAAACAACATTCCAAAGTTCCAATACTATAAACACAATCACAACGGATTTTCGATTGATAGAGATGAATAAAGGGTCCCAATTTTCCCACATTTTCTTTGCAACCAAACACAATCCCTTCAATTGGGCAACCATCTTAGCTTCAAATCAAAATTGAACAAACACCCACATAAAAATACCTCAAATGCAACTAAAAATTCAGTAATCACGTACTTTATGATAAAGCGCCTTCCAAGCATTATCATCATTGGCGGCCCTCCGCATGAGCGAATTGGTCATCGAAAGCCTACAGAGGCTCGGGTAGTCCAGATAGCTAAGAGCATGCGTCGTAATCTCCGGAACCAGCTGCTCCATCATCGACGCGCCCGTATGCCGCTCCAGTACGGCCACCGCCGCCGTCGGCTTCTCCGTCACGTCCGTATCCGTCCCGCCGTTCAAGTGCGGCGCGCTCACGGGCCCCGAATCGGAGCCCGAAACGACCTCTTCCCGGTGACTAGTACAGCAAGTGCAGGCCTTTCCGCTTCCACTCGACGACGAGGTGGCAGAGGCAGCGCCGCCCGATTTGGGTTTGCCGGGGAGTGATCGGACGGCGAGGAGAGCGAGGAAAAAGGTGAGAAAAGTAAAAATTAGGGCTACAAAGAAGGTTTGGGGATAAGAGAGAGTGAGGGAAATAATCTCCATTCATAAGACATGAAAGCTCTGCAGAACATGAAAAACCCTAGAAATCTGGTGGTGGGAGATCCAGGATAAGGGTGTGCTGCGTCCGTGGGTGGGGGCGAGACTGGGCCGTTTTGCCTCGGCGGGTTCCGGTTTGAAAAACCCTAGAAAATGGTGATGGGATCGAAATTTTGCAGAGATAAAGAGCGGAAAGAGGGAAAGAGAGGTTGGTTGTGAGTTGGTGACTCGTGAGTGGCAACGGACTGAGTCCGGAGAATCAACTCGAACCGAGTGTACCGGGTCAAATATTAAATAAAATCAAATAAATACTCTATTCTTTTTAAAAAATACTTGGGGGTGCTTTCGTAATTAGACTTTTCCTTGTTCAAATTAATTTTTTGGGCAAAAGACTGTTTACTACCCTCATGTTTTATGGTTTTCAACATTTAGTACATCAATTTTTTTTCGTCCCAGAGTCATACCTAAAGTGTAAATTTTAGGACAGTTTCATATATTCGTTAGTCAAACTGTTAATTCTCCAGTTAAGTGATGACGTAGCGCCCATGTGGACAATGACTAGGCGCCACGTGTTATTAAAAATATTAAAATATTATTATTATTATTATAATATATATATATATATATATATATATATATATATAAAACCTGTCGTCTTCCCCACTCCGACCCCCCCTCCCTTCTCTCTCCAACCCCCAACCTCTGCACCTTCCCCCACCCAGAAACTGGACACGACAAAATATCCTTCTCTTCTTTGCACCTACCCAACCCCAACCTCTGCACCTTCCCTCACACCGAAACTGGACTTGACAAAATGCAAGATCCAGCCAACCTGAAACCGGATCCGAGCTCCAGCTCTCAAGACGCATGGCGCAGCCGTTGCCAGACGCAACTCCAAGCGCCCCGTTCCGGGGCTCCTACCACCGTCAAACCCAATCCAAGATCCATTTTCTGATCCCGACGACCTGGATCTGCTCTAGGACTCGTTCGAAGCCCGTCCTGCAGCTTCGAGGAGCTGGGCGGCTTTGAGGACGAAATCTTCGACACCTACTGGACATGGAGAAGTTCGGATCCAAACTCGATGATGGACCCTCTAATCGATTGTGCTTGGGAGAGAGAGGTGAAGAGGGAGGAATGAGGGGGATCGGGGAAGATGGACAGGGGGTGGGGTTGGGTTGGGGTGCAGGATAATGAGGAGGAAGAGGGGGTGGGGTTAGGAGAGGAATGGTGGAGGAGGTGGTGGTTGTGGAGAAGGGGGGATAAAAATGGGGGAGAGAAAAGGGGGAGCCGAAGAGAATGTTGCAGAGGGAAGAAGGAAGGGAGGTGGAAGACGGGTTAATTTACTTGATTTGGATGTGCAGTGGGGGAATATAGGGGGTGGGGGAAGGTGCAGAGAAGAGAAGGGAGAAAGAAGGGAGGGGGGTCGGGGTGGGGAAGACGATAGGGTTTTTTTTTTTTAAATAATAATAATATTTTAATATTTTTAATGACACGTGGCGCCCAGTCATTGTCCACATGGGCGCCATGTCATCACTTAACGGGAGAATTAACAGTTTGACTAACGGATGTATGAAACTGTCCCAAAATTTACACTTTAGGTATGACTCTGAGACGAAAAAAAATTGATGTACTAAATGTTGAAAACCATGAAACATGAGGGTAGTAAACAGTCTTTTACCCTAATTTTTGTATCATTTTTTTTGTTGGAATTCATTTTTATCATTGAAATTTTACTTGATTTATTTACAAACGGCGCTTCTATTTTTAGACTACGTAACACTTGTCTTCCTACTCAACAAAGATAAGAAAATAAAATTTTAAATAAAAATTGGTGGAAAACAATAATGTTTATGTATGTGGTGCAGATTCGATCACATTGATCATCTCTCCTAACATTTTTAACGCACTAACGTTGTCATTTGTCCCCAAAAAAACAAATATTCTTTAATACTTATAGATTCATTAGTTTGTTTTCCTTAAGCTATGGAGCGAACTTTACGTTAGATGAGCCTAAAAAAATTGTTCATCCGGTAATAGTTCAATCAATTTGTTTTTTTTGTTGCCAAAACATAGTTTAATCAAATTGAGTAAAACAGTTTTAGATGAATTTAGCCTAATTATTATGTCGTATATAAAAAAAACTTACAAAAAATATTCAATTTTAGAGACCATAAAAAAAATTTGAACCACTGCGTAGCAGGGCATTTCAGACATTTAGCCCTTTTGGTCAACGTATCAATTTTCATCGTACGGAACAAAAGGATATTACAAAAAAGATTCTATTAAAACGACATCACACAGGCTTGGGCTGTCCAAAGCAACAAAGCAAGACCAGTTGGACCTTGACACACCAAAGTTCAGCTCAAACCAAGTGAAGGGCCCAGGATTTTTTTTCACCTCTTCACCAAGAAGATATTCTAAATTATTTTTCTGAGTAAGCGGGATTCGAATTTGTAAGTTAGGGGCGTCACACTGTTTTAACTAACTGACATAACTTACGTTTGTAAATATTATTAATTTCAAAACTCTAGGGGAAAAAAAAAAGAAACAAAGAACCAGTTTCGGAATATTTTCTTATCGACCACAAAAATTGTGATTCATCCAACGACATGAATTTTGAGTTTTTCTACAACAAATTTCTTTCTATTATACAAAAAAAAAAATCTAAAATTAACAAGTGGCCAAAAACCTAATGCTAAAGCTGGATTGGGACTATAAGAAAATTAAGAGGAATTTCTAACTATAGATCAAAGTAATGAATATTGTCATACTGCTGCTAACAATCATAAAAACCCAACCTCTATTGTTCCTGCATGCATTCTCAGGCTGAGACTGAGACGGCGAGGAGGAGGAGGAGGAGGCTCCTCTTAAAAATGTCAAAATTTGCATTGAAACTAGTTTCAGAATTGCAAAGCACAAAAAGAAAAGACTAACTGCTAGAACCGCAAGCTCTTTGCTTTCGAGGCTCGCTTGATCCTTCACAACCTTCTCAATGTCTATTCTGCAGTAACAAAGAGCGATGTCAGTGAATCTATAGATTGATGTGAAGCAACGAGAACGGAGAATTTACTACATCACAAAAGCCTATAAGTTAGAAGTATATCTAACCTTAACATGTTATTTTCCCTGGCCAATGCATTCACTTGGGATGAAACAGCAGCTTTCCATGATTCAAGGTCGGTAATACTTTTTTCCTGAATCGAAGAATGCCAAACAATTAGGTTGATAAGCTTCCTGTCCCGAAAATTATATGCATAAACATTATATGGATAGTAAGTTTTAAGAAAAAAAACAATGCAGTACCATAATTTCCTTCCATTGCAAGATATCTTTGATCTCCGTTTTGCTTTGATCCAGAAGCAATGATATTCTCAACAGCTCTTTACCAACCTCCGGCAAGATACCCCCCTGTCTTCGATTTAATTCTTTGATATATTCCTCCAGCACAGCTAAGTTCAGCTCGAGTGACCTCACTTTTTGCATTAAAATCTTCAGAACTGAGTCACCAGGAATTCTTCCATTCGGCTGCTGTCTAACCTTCAGAACCGGCTCTGGAATCTTGCTCGTAGTTACTGGATTTTTGGTAACATCTACATTGACCTTTTGTGTATCTTCAATGCTTTCTGTCCCTACACCAGCTGTTCGAACCCCAGTTTGACCTTCATTACTTGTTTTCCCTTCAGTTGAACCAACCTCTTCTCTTGGAGACAATTGTACAGTTGAATTAGGCTCTGCCAATTTATTGGCTGCAGGTTCTGCAGGCGCCACAATCAGATCTTCTAGCATCCGCTCAATTGCGTTAATGCCATACACCTCTAGAACACTTAATGTGCAGTAAAACTCAGACCCATAGTGACTTAGTAAATCTAACTTCAAGTATCTTACCCATTTGGGTTCAGGCAGCTTAAAGGTCTGAGCATGCTTGACATTAGCAGCAACAAAGTTGCCCAATGGCAACCACGCTTCTGCCGGATAGCTTAAACTTCCAGACAATTCAAATTCCTTGAAATTAGAAGAGTAGTGCTCAAAGTTTGCAATCTTGACAGAATTTACCAGAGTCTCTTCTGCAAGCTCAACTATAACAAACTTTCCCCCGACGGAACAAGGGTTTCTCAGGTACTTATCGTGATCCTTTCCCAATATGTTACATGCTCCTTTTGCTTCCTTATTGTGAGCCACCACTTTTGCACCTTTGGATGCAGAGGCATAGTTGTATTCCATTCCATCAGATTCAAGCCCCTGGGTAATGTTAATAAGCTGACTTGGCATATCCTGACCTTTTTCCTGCTTTGTTATGTTTCGAAATTCGTCAATATTGAGATAGGAGGGATGAGAAGTTCCTCCATTCAGAAGTTGTCCTGAATGATTTGTGTTATAATCATGTGCTTGATGTAGTTCACAAACCAAGTCACCATAGCCTAAAATACTCCAAACTATTTTTTCTAATCTGTCCGTCTCTGGAAGTGAGTACTTGGAAATTGCATAGTTGTCAGAAACTCCAGAATCGTTACAGCTTTGAGACGAAGTAAAATCCAATACCAGTCCATTTGTCTGTTTTCCGCTTCCATTTTCTACAAATGAGCATGCATGGTCACCGTGCTTACCATTGTGAACACTAGGATAATGTGTAGACCTGTTATCAGGAGCTGAATTCCCTGAAGAAAATATATGCTCAAGTTAAATGATCAAATCCGCAAAAATAAGTAGACAAGGGTAAAAGCTGAAATGCCACCCAAATAGCTTATCCTAAAAGCATGCATCCGAAAATAGCTGAATGGCGATTCCAATTAAAATACTCTCTTAGCTCCAGCTAAACGATAAGATTCTGTAAATCGTCGAAATAATTTCATTGATGATGAAGAATATAAGGGTACTAGCTGAAGAGATTTCCCCAACATTAAACTTCAGCAAAGTTATCAATCTACAAACTAGAGCAGAGACATTAGTTAGGAAAAAACCAATAGTGAAACCATATTATTCGAAAGAAGAAGAAATAGAAAACCTACATAGAACTTCTCAGAATCTAGACTCCAAGATATGAACATTCTTTAACAACAACAACAACAACAAAGCCTTTTCCCACTAAGTGGGGTCGGCTATATGAATCCTAGAACGCCATTGTGCTCGGTTTTGTGTCATGTCCTCCGTTAGATCCAAGGACTCTAAGTCTTTTCTTAGGGTCTCTTCCAAAGTTTTCCTAGGTCTTCCTCTACCCCTTCAGCCCTGAATCTCTGTCCCGTAGTCACATTCTTTAACAAAGAAACAAAATTGTTGAGACCATTAACCGCGGATAATAAGTAACAAACCCCCTCTATGTTAAAATGTGAGCATCCAGCCCAAAACCAATCAGAAATGGGCGGAGAAGCCCCTTCTCGACTTCCATCTCCGCGGGAGTTTGTTGAATGAAAACAAAACTGGAACCTATTGACACTTTCTCATACCCATTAAGGAAATTTGGAATTCATTTCACCAATAGCACAGTGTCCAAAACAATGCTAACCATCTTCTTCTTTCGTAACATTTGGATATCTTTTCTCTGAGAATCTTATCAGCAGAAAATTAAAGGCACCAGCTTTTGTTCTATTTTATCCATTTCTCTTCAATCTATTGATATAAATACGGATTGGGGAAATGGGTTTGCTAGAACATACAAAGTTGAGAAGTGGGCATAAGGAATTAGAAAATACAGGTAAAAAGAGGCAAACTTTACAAAAACCAAACAAATGAAACGCAAATGGACAATAAAATTTCCAAGTACCTCCATTGCCATGGCCGAGACCGAGCTTAGAGTAGAACAAGAATACAAGGCACCAGAGAGAGAAGATCAGAGAGAGAGAAAGCTCGTAGAAGCTCTTGCTCTTGTTGTTGTAGCATTTCTTACTTTTGCTTTTGCAGCTTTCTCCACCACTGTTGCTTTCCTGGAAATTGGAGCCGTCAATGCTGGTGTGGTAGTTTCTCGTTTGGGTTTTGGTATAAAAGGAGCCGTTCCGAGGCTTCTTCATCTTTCTTCTGTGCAAAAATGGCCGTTGCGTTGGAGGGTTTTGGTGGGTCCTTATGTTTCATCATAAAAACATAGCAGAGAGAGAGAGGAGTAGGGAGAGAGAATGTGGGATTTCCTGAGGAATAGGAATCGGGAAAAGTCCTTGTCTGCTTTTTGTGGCAAATTTTTTCTTCTTTTTGGGTCTGTGTGGCTAATTATTCCCACTGTTGCGGAAAGCACTCTTCGCCGTTGAGAGGCGCATAAGTCGCTTTTGGATTTTGAGCTTTGGCTTTTTAATTGAAATGTCTGACACTGTAATTTAGTCTCAATTTACTTTTTGAAATTAATTTTATTTTGCTTTACTTTTTAAAACTGATGTTTTCAATTATTTAATCTCACTTCATCTTATTCTGCTAAAAAAATGTTAAATTTAAAAGTATTTTGGATATTTTACTTTTTACAATACGTACTAAAACAATCTCAATTTTATTTTTGACAACTGTGTTTTGACCATTTTTAAAAATAAATTATTCAATCAATAGAAAAATTCCTGACAACAAAACATTATATCAACCAAAATAAATGTTACAATTTTTTTTCATAAAGTCATTTCATTTGCAAGGCATTCTTGTACTAGCGCAATGAAACTATGCGCTTGAAAAATACTCATTACAACATAAAGAAAACATGATTAACCTATTCCAAAGATATCTTTATAATCAAAATTGGCCTAACCACAAGTTTCACCTATAAGAAAATGATCTCAAATTAGTTGCACAATATATAATCTAAAAAAAAACCATTAAGCTATCATGTACAAAATACTTCCTATGCAAACCTCAAAACCAAAAAAATTATCTAAAGCAAATGTGCACAGTTTGCAACCAAAAGTTTCACATTGTTGAGTTACATATTCCAATTGGCGATAAATTAATTACAATTTTAGTTTAAGAGGTGTGTAAAAAATGAAGTGTCCAAGATACCCTTCAATTTAACATTTCTTTTATGGAATGGGGTGAAGTGAGACCAAAAGAGTTAAAAATGTCAGTTTCTGGGGGCAAGTGAGACAAAATCAATTTCAAAAGATAAATTGAGACTAAATGGCCGTTTTAGGAGGCAATTCAATTAACAAGCCTTGAGCTTTTGAGTTCAAGTTTTTGACCCGCATCTCAACGACAAGAGATTTATCAATTCCCTGCAACACGGGGTGGTACACTACTGTCACTATACAAGTGGTGAGATACTTGTGTTAAAAATTACCAACTTGAAAAAAAAAAATCACTCAACTTACATAATGGCACGTGATGTCCACCCATGTTTCCAGGTACAATGAAAAATTTCTCCTTAACAATGGTTTAATTTGGTGCCAAGTATCAATGCTACCTCCCACTACCAGAGTCACCATATTTGCTCTCTAAACTAAACCGTAATTTGTAAACGTGCGCGTATTCAGGTTGGTTAGAGCTTGTGTGCTCACTCTTATGGACCAAGTTCCAGTCTTTCCTAATTGTTTAAATTAGATCAGATTGTTGTTTGAATCATAAATGAACCGAAATTTGAATAATTGAGACGCTGACACATCATAACGAGCAAACATTGCTTAACAAAGTTGATGCGTGTAATCGTGCTATGCTTCATTGTTTAAAAAGGAAGAGACTTACGTGAAACGTGAGTACCCAAGGCTGTGTCAAAACTTATCACCCATTGCCACATGTTTTAGCCTTTTTTTTTACACGACATTGCAGAAGGATTTGGGACACCGCCACCTTGACGTCTCCATTTTATGCAAGTCCTCTAAGCAAGGTCACATATCGAACTAATTAACGAAAAATTGTGTGAGAGTTGAATGAGATCATGACATTCAACCATCTGAGTAGTAATCTCATTCATTTGTAAATGGAAAAAGTAGAGATGAATTTGGAAGCTAATTCCTTTCTTACAATATATCAACCTCCATCTAGAGAGTGCACATTTCTACATTATCTATCAACCACCAAAAAAAGTAAATAAAAAAAGAGAGAAAACCTAATAAAAAGGAAAACTGGGCATTCTTTTGAATTACAGGAGAGAGAGAGAGAGAGAGAGAGAGAGAGAGAGTTACACCAAAATTACAAGACAAAATCTCAATTCGTGCACTTCATGCTCTTGATGGAAGTGAAGCTTTCGATGCAGTCCACGGAGAGTCCCCATTCGCTTAATCATAGGGTTTCTCCATTGGATTGAGATAGAAGGGCGTACTCTGACTCACGTTCCTGTTCCTGTTCCTGTTCTTGTGTGACGAACTTAAGGCTGCCAGGATTTTCCTCCTCTAAAAGAAGCTTTAAGGGTGTTTGTGGAAGGTACTTGTTCAAGATAAAATCAATTTCTTCACCGCTAATTTCCTTGCGTTCAAGAAGAACCTGAAGTGAAAGAAAGCCAATGAATCCCACTGTCATTGCACCACTTCGAAGTTAAATGCAATCAGCTCATTTGCATGTATGCAATCTCAATTTGCATTCCACATATTAATATACGAATTTGCATCCAGACCAAGTACCTTCACAGTTTTAAGCAAGGCCGTGTGATGCTTCTTAAGCAGAGAAAGTGTTTTGTCATACATTTTGTGTATCAGCTCTTCCGCCCTTTTTGCAACATCATCATCTAAATTGAAGTTCACTGGTGGTTCAATCAGGTCATAGTCGTGGTACAGTGATCCCTCGAAGTCCAGCCGAGGGCCTACAAATTCAAGTTTCTTCCTCCAAGGTGGTGGCTCTCCATGTATGACCATCGGATTCTCCAAATTCCAACTGTAAGGAGAGATTAATCAAATCAGATCATTACAACCACACAGAAAGCAAGGAGGTAGAAAAACAGTAGTGAACAAGGGCCTGACATGGTTAAAATTTTACGAGCAAGCCAAGATGCATCAGCAAGGTAGTCAACCGATGCCCTTGATGAGTCTCGTCCATATATGACCTCTTCAGCGGCCCTTCCACCAAGTAAAACCTGCACAAAGGAAAGAAAAAAAAAACCATTAGATTAATAGGATACAGTATAAAAAGAAACTACAAGAACCAAAAACAAAAAAAAAAACCTGTAGGCGATGCAGCAATTGTGGCCGGCGCTCAAACATGTATGATTCGTCATCAAGTCGATGAAATACAACTTGTGACAATGTCTGTACAAATTACTTGACAAAGTTACACCGTAAGTAACAAGTGATAGGAAAAAGGAAATTTCAGTAAAATCAAAGTAGCCATGACATGTTACAGAACCGCAAAATTAACAGGATAGGATAGTTGCCAGGCTTTAAGTAATCTAAGAAGATAGTTGGTCGTCTATAAATCATTCAGGTTACCAAATTATGCAACAGCATGACAAGAATGAACCACATAACAGTGACTATTTCATCAGACAGTGCCAAAAACATACAAGGCAACAAAGAATTACAAATTAGACTATGGACGAAAACGAAGATAAAGGAGCAGAAAGAGCACCTGACCACGAGGGATGATTGAAATGCGATCACACCGTTCAACTTCTGCGTTTTCGTATTGCCTAAGCAGATGAGAAGTCATTGCCACTCCAACTTCAGTAGTGGCTCGACGACATTGACCCAGATGGCCCAACTCTATTCCAACCCGCTTTGGTCCTACAGTGAGTCTATCAACAGCATCATCCAAGTCTGTCTGAAAAATTGAATCATGCCCCTTCCTCACTGCGACAAGTGCAGCCTCTTGGACCAGCTGAGCCAACTTTGCTCCCGTCCATCCTGATAAATAGAAAATTGGATTCAGGACTTCAAATAACAAATCCACTGGAGCACCAAAGACGGATGCATACCTGGTAAGTTCTGTGCATAGCTGGACAAATCAACAGATGGTGACATTTTGACTTTGCTTGCATGGATTTTCAAAATATCCAATCTCCCCTTCGCAGCAGGTGGACGAATTTTTATCTACAGGATGCAACCCAAATAATAATGAGCCACGAAATTACATTCAACAAAGCTGGCATATACAATTTAATGAATTTATGGATAACCAAGCAGAAAATTTCAGTTCCAGTCAGTGAATAATCCAGTATCAACCAGGGCAAATCCAACCAATGACTGGAGAATAGATGAATGGCTCATTTAACATAAGATACAGATGTATAATATGACTGATGGATGTCATTCTCAAGCTTAAACAGAAGAACTAAATTCCATGAAGCTAACACAGTAGCCTAGTTCCAACGGTCTTTTACTTTAGAAAGAGAACAAACCTTCCGATCAAAACGACCTGGTCGAAGAAGTGCAGGGTCTAATAAATCCCGGCGATTTGTAGCAGCTAAGAATATAACACCTTTACCAGTATCAAATCCATCAAGCTCTATTAAGAGCTGATTCAGAGTAGTTTCTCTCTCTTGAGTGGCTGCATTATACAGGTGGTCGCTAGTTTCCTTGAAAATTCCTTGACGCCTGAGCACAGGATAGAAAACACATATCCATAAGTTTATTAACATCCAGTTCAAAGTTAAGCACTAGGCTCTTGTCAGCCGGCACCTTGCACAATAATGATATGCCATAAAGTTAATTACTGTATGTTAAAAAAAATTAAAACCACAAACAATAGCACAAATCATTAAAGTTCAGCAAGAGAAATATTCATACCTCGTAGCCAATGCATCAATCTCATCAATGAAAATAACAGATGGTTTGTTTACCTGCACCAACAAAAATAAAGCAATTCATAGCATAACAATCCCAATAAAGACTTCAAGAAAGTGAATATGTGGCTTTAATTGATAAAACCACTCTCTGAGAAGTCAGAACCACTTTTAAAGAGGAAATTCGATTTTAAAGTTGAAACTATGAAATTGATACCAGAGTATGACTTGTTTGGGTTCTCACTTCCCCTTCAGGGTGACAAAGTAGGATAATATGGGGAGAACCAAATTTGTTAGTGCATAGTGCCTCCAAAAAATATGTCCAGGTTTAAATGTTTAAGATTAAAAATGGAGCAAAGTCTAAAGAAGATTGATCACAATTAACAGAATCCAAGTACAAATAATCACCTTGGCTCTTTTGAATAGATCCCTAATACGAGCTGAACCAACACCAACTAAGACTTCAACAAATTCAGATCCAGCCATTTGGTAAAACGGAACACCAGCCTCACCAGCTATGGCCTTCGCAACCAGGGTCTGGAAACAGGTGAGTAAACTGAAAAGTTAGTAATGGATAATTTTATGTATTGTAATTAGTACACTGATTAAAGGTCTGCACAAATAACAAACCTTGCCAC